AAGTCTGTGTGAGTACGGCAGATCACGGGCAACTTCCGACCCCAGCTTGTGTTGTGCAGTATGAGGTCGTGCGCGGTCCACGGGGTTCATTTTTCAGGCTGAAGTTTCGTGAACGGAAGTGGGTAAACAAATAATAGGTGGTACGTTCGTTTGTAATATTTGCTCCGTAAAAGTCGTTGATGTTGCGTGCCGCTTATGCCGCGTTACTACCCCGATGGTACTCATATTCCATAATTACTTGAACTTTTAACGTACCATAGTGGTCGTAAGCGCGGTTGCTGACCATGAGGTACTGGGTTGGAATCCCGGGTCGGGTTAAAATCAGTTTTTTTGATAGGATAGGGTGACAAACGAGCACACAGTCCACCTGATGGTAAGTGGTTGCTGTGGCCCATAGACATCTACATCTATCCTCGTTTGCGAATCAAAATGCAGATGCGTTGTCACCCGTGAGGACTAAGATGGAATGCCTCTTTTCCAGTAAAAAGGGCCTCCGGTTCTCTACAGTCACCATACGAAACACAGCAGTGTCAAGCTGCTATTTTACGCTGGTATTCTGTGAGAGCGTGGTCCTTACCCGGTGGAGCCGACCCATTCGTGCTACAACTATACTACTAATATAGCTGCAGCATGTCTAAATGAAAGGTCTTGTTCGAATAATTTAATAAGAAGTTTACATTTACACAAATAACCTTGATTATGAAATTATTTATCTGAGTAGGGGTTAATACCATGATGCGAATGTAATCAATCCGTCCTTTCTACCAGTGTAATAGTTAAATAGATCACAACAGCGGATTTTTTTCACAAGTTCCATAAACATCTAGCTAATACTTACATTAAAAAAAAGTTCCCTCCACACTAGGACCTGTATTGCGGGGGCAGTTCACATACATAGGTTTCACAGGACAAACATCCAGACCCAGAACAATTATTTGCAGGCCATGCAAATACTTGTTCCGTGCGGGATTCGAACCCGCGGCCTTTAGCGCTGCAACTTGCTAAGCCACTGCACCACGGACCTGTCAAACATTGTTTTATTGCACTACCAATAGTTTTCGCAGCGCACGCCTAACTAATGACTTTTATAAGCAAATTGATACCCTGAGTTACATATATTGTAATTCAGGGTATTTTCTTCTAAATATTTAATGTATAGTTTACACTATGCATTAAATATTTAGAAGAATTTTACAATTTAAAATTTCTCATGTATTTGTAAGTGTGCATATTCTTTTGAAGAGTTAAACATTTTAAAGCATTAATTAAATTAAAGTTCAATTGTGTACGATGCAAGGTGTGTTGTGACTACGTTAATATAGCACATTATAGTCAGTTCATTGTTAGTAGCATTGCTATCTCGAACACGTAGCGTGCAATTCATTTAGAATAGCTTTGCGTTCCAAAGTACACTGCTATAGTGTCGATGGTTGTTAACTCACGTAGCTCACATCTTACTCTGCTAAATGAGGTTGTTTCAGCATGTATTGTTATTCCTATAAGACAAGTGTACTAAGTCAGTAACTCAGTATTTAATATAATTATAAATAATAAAATCGCGTGAAATATTTTTTCTAAATTGCCAGTTATGTACTTTTAATTATCGTCGAGCAATTAAAAATGTTGTCTGTGGAACATATTCTCCAATCAAATATCGTTTCTTAATAGGTTTAACAGACCTTAATTAACGTAAATGAGTTATCTAGATTTTGTTGTGAGAAAGACAGACAAGTAAATGCCTTGGTGTTAGTGCTAGTATTGAGGCCGGAGTATTCTGTATTAATGCAGTCACTCTTATTGTTTAGTACTAGAGTCATTCTATAAGGGTTTTGAATTTTAAAAAAAACTTGTTGTTTGTGTGGGTTGTATAGCGTAACTACCTAATTAACGTATCTCACAAAATAGGAGCTTTAATACTGCTGTTTTACTCGACGAATCTAATCCGTTCATTCTGAAAATTAAATCCCTGTCTTTATCGAAATAAACTCCCACAATAATAATTGATTTGGTTTTGTAATGCCATTTTCAATTTATATAATACATTTAATTGAACTTTTAATACGTGGTAGAGCCACCCAGGTAGGCTCGACCCAGGTAGGACCACGCTTTCAAAGAAAATACCGTTGTAAAAGAGCCGTTTAACGCTGCTGTGTTTCGTATAGTGTGCAGAGAACCGGAGAATTTGTTACTGGAAACGAGGCATTCCATCTTAGTCCTCAAAGGTAACAACACATCTGCATTTTCATCCTTAATAGAGGATAAATGTAGATGTGTATGGGCCACGCATTCACTTATCAAGAGGTGGAATGAGTGCTCGCTTGTCACCCTTATTTTATAACAAGTGGTAAAATAAAAATTTGTATAACTGACTTCAATATAAATATAATTTATTGTTGATTTTTTAAAATCGCTCGACCGATTTCGATAAAATTTAAATGGGAACTCCTGGGAAGTATATATATCCCTTGAAATGAAAAAAGAATTTTCCAAATCGGTTCAGGCGTCTTCGAGTAATCGGTGAACATACATAAAAAAAAAACAAAGATTCCGACGAATCGTAAACCTCTTTTTTGCCTTTTTGAATTTGGTTGAAAAAAACTTTAAAGTAGTGCCGTACAGTAGTGAAATTTTGGTTTAAAATTGAAAAGTACAAACGAAATTATTATAACGACGGGTTACACCTCGTCTGCAGTAGATCTCATTTATACTATACAGAGCGTTTCGCTCCGGCTTCACACAGGTTATTTCTGGATCTTGACAACAGCGCCACCTACCGGGTTAAATTGTGAATCTAAACCATCCAGCCAACCATCTAACTTAAACACACACAAAAAATCATCAAAATCGGTCGAGCCATTTTCGAGGTTTTGCGAGACTAACGGTCGATTTTGATCTTCGAAGTTGATTTTTATATAAGTATAGAGGTTTTAATTAAAAATGGAGTCAAGGGTGAAGAGGAGTGTTGGTATGGCGATGCGCCACTCGCCCTATCCTATCCTCCGCGGCCGAAAGTTATTTGGCGGCGGAGTCAGAGACCAGATCCGCTGCTGGGTAGGGAAAACTAATGCTTCCGAGCGCTTGTTTTTCTTGGCTCAATGGCCTTCACGTATCGGAATCGGGGAGGTCCGCAGGTTTAGTTGGTGGCCGTGGAGAAAGCACGACTTGTGTGCATGGTGCGCTGTATCTCAGAATGAAAATATGGAGGAGAAGTCCTCCCTCGAAAAGGAGCTACCATGGGGCGGCCGGCACTGGTTTTAGTCGGTGCAAGGCCGACATAACGCATCTATGCCCCCGCGAGGCGGGTATGAGTAGACATTTCCCATGTTAAAAAAAAGACGTGTACGGGCCGACAAAGAAGAAGAACATCATAAAATCTAATGCTTATAAACTTCACTTTTTCATATATAATTTAGTTCATAGAATTTTTTATATATTATTTATCTAAAAATTAGTTTTGATCTAAATTTAGTTAAGTTCAAAGGCAAAAAATTCAAAATGAACTAACAACTGAGTCATGACATGCTGTATTTATCTATGTTTAACTTTTATTATTGTTGACGTTAAAAAAATATTTACAAATTTAATACATAGTTATAGAGATGTTTATTGTGTAAATATTTATTTAATAATTATATAGAACTAATTACATACATATAAATTATTTCGAGATTCTTTAACTCTCTATGTTCCTCTTTATGCGTCAAAGAGTCGGGAATTAAAAATACAAAGGACGAAAAAATAAAGTCACATGCAAATAATTAGAACACACAACAAGATAATTACAACAACCGTCGGAGCGCGGGTCTGAAAACCGGTACGAGAGCAACGAAGCAATATCTGGTTAAGTCGGGTTAAGTGGTGTTTCCTAATTGAAAGTCGCGGTTTCGTCCAATAACAATGGAACGGAGCACGGTTACGTTCGTCGTGTATAAATTAGAGAATTATATTAATCGGAGATAACAATCGCCTGTAACCCTTAACGAGGCCGGGTCTTTTACTCGACGAATCCAATCCGTTCATTCTGAAAATTACATCCCTACGTTTATCGAAATAAACTGCCATAATAATTGGTTTGTTTTTGTAATGCCATTTTCAAATTGTATAGTAAATTTAATTGAATGTATAATACGCGGTAGAGCCACACTGCAGGTATATTATGGTTTTAGCACCAATGGGTCGACTAGACCAGGGAAGGACCACGCTCTCATAGAATACCAGCGTAAAAGAGCAGCTTATTGCTGCTGTGTTTTGTATGGTGAGTGTAGAGAAAAGAGACTCTTTTTACTGGAAACGGGGCATTCCATCTTAGTCCTTAGGGGTGACAACTCATCTGCACTTTGATTCTTTATTGAGGATTATTTATGTGCATGTGTATTGTAGATGTCTATGGGTCACAGCAACCACTAGCAAAAAACTTTTAAAAACTTTTCTTGTTGTGATATTGCTGCCAAAGACAGCACAGAAAGTAATATAAATTGCTTATTTTCTCTGCTGGTTTGGAAGCAATTAGAAGAACAATTCTGCGACATAAATTAATGAAAGTTATCACGAAGTTATTGAATTTCTTGACAAGGATTATGTGTTAGGGATAGCCAAAATTATTACAGGTAATTATAAAAAAAATATTTCCCTTGTTTAAAATCTACATAGCTCGCAACCTTTATACATAGTCCTTTCTTACAGAAGACGAAACATCTTATTACATCTTTATTTAACTCGTCACTGAAACCCGAAATCCTTTGTTCATTACAAAGTTTGACATAATTTACATTTCTCGCTTTTGTTTTGTGAGACGACATCGTCAAATTAGCTGGTTCTTATACAAACTTATCAGGGTTATGAATATTGCTGAATTCATTACAAAACTCAAGCGTACGCGTTGTGTGATAACTTGATAACAGTAAGTTTTAGAGTTTGTTTGTAAGCATGCTTTGGTTTCATATTTTATGAAACTTAAAATATATAAAAAAATAAAACAACAAAATTAATACAATATATTTTTACATTTCACATTTCTTTCCACCATCACCAAGGCTTACTCCACAGTCCATAATATAGCAACTACCGGTGATACAACTCGCGTTATCGCTCGCAAGAAAAATAATTAATTCTGCAACATCTTCACGTTCACAAACCTTTTTAAGGGGCAAGTTGGTAGCAAAACTTGCAAATAATGCTTCACTTTGTTCATTACTTAGTCCGGCTCTTGTGAGGAAATTAGTTTTAACTGGACCTGGATTAACGGCATTCACTCTCACTCCTTTACTTGCTAATTCTTGTGCAAGACATTTGGTAAATGAGTCCAGTGCAGCTTTAGACATGCAATATGGCATCATAGTGCATATTGGTGTTGTTGAAAGCACACTCGATACGTTAACAATGTTTCCCCGAGTAAACACGATGTATGGAATAACTTGTTGTGTGAGTAGATAAGTTCCGCGAATGTTCGTTTCCATTATACGGTCAAGTGGTTCTACGCCGTCTTGAATACCAGCCATAAGAGCTATACCCGCATTGTTCACCAATACATCAATTTTTCCATGATAATCTATTGTTTCTGTAACGATTCTTTGTATTTCATCATAAATAGTAATATCAGCTGATATGGATAATGGTTTTAAACCGCTTACTGTTTCACACTTTTCGGACACCTTTTTTAGGTTATCTATATTTCTTCCTACGATAGATAGTTTTGCGGAAGCCATTGCAAAGCGTACAGCGCAAGCCGCACCGATCCCTGAACTCGCGCCTGTTATTAAGACGACCTTGCCAGCGAAGTTCATTCTGACTGAATGTCGATTTCCGACTGAGTGCATACGAGATATCGAATACGTTATATAGTGCGTTGTGGTTTTCATAGAGTACAAATTTGTAGAGACTTTTGTTTGTTTAATTTATAATATTATAATATCTTCAAAGCTATATCTGTACTCTTAAATTAAATAATATATTTACAAGTATTGGTTATAGGGAATCTTAATTAAGCTATTCTCACAGAATACTCTTTTACTTTCTTTTCAAACTCGAGATCAGTATTGTTAAATATATTTATTTTGACACAAGGAAGTATGCACATGATTTTGACATAATTCATTCTGTTTGCTGTGAAGTGGCGGTGTAAGAGAATACACTACGCCTTATCACTCCGTGAAATACTCTCTCGCTCTGCTGAGAACCACAAGCTTTTCAGAAGCCATTTTGGCCTTCTCTTCAAAGTGATCACGAAACTGCACACTATTCGATATATCAACGCCGAGTATTACGATGCTAGCTGAGGTAGCAAGGGGAGTGCCTTGAAAGTGAGGAGATTTGACAAAGGGGTTCTTATTAGTGGTAAGCGCGCAAACTTGTGTCTTCTGTGGATTGAACTGGACTGGATTTAATCGCCCCCAATCCTAGATTTAGTTCGGCAAAGACCCGCCTTCAGACACAAGTTTGTCCCAGTACTCGGAGACGTTTTTCAGAGAAATATTGGCACGGCCGGTGTATAGGGCATCACCATTGGAACTTTAATTTCTGACTTACTTGCTAGTTTGTGTTTGGCGGTGAAGGGACACATTTGAGGAAACCTGAATATCTATAAACTAAAAATATTTCGAAAACATGTTGAGTCCACCAACACGAATTGGATCCAGATTCAACTTGAACCAATGCACTCAGATATAAAGAAGACCCATGCCCAGATATCTACGTGGTCAATTCGCTTTACTGACCTTAGTGGAGTCGTAAGATAATTTATCACCTCGTTTCGTCACATGGGTGTCGTAACAGGCGACTATAAGAAATTCCAGATAGGTCTAACGACCTGCAATAGATGGATGTAGTTTCATATATACCCGCTGTAAATAACCAGGCTGAACACAGAGGGCTGCGTCTAAGATATCATACGTTTGGTCATGATCCATCTGGCGAGCATGGCTAAATCTTGCCTACAATTTGAGATATCTAACTGAGAACAAAGAAACACTTTCATATATTATAAAAACTTTACTCTTTGTCATTGTATTTTGTACTAGCTGGTACCTGGAGCGTCGCAGCAGTTATATGTATTATTTAATTAGATATGATAATACGTTCATTGAAGTTGATGATATTATAACTTTAAAATAAATTTGTCAGTACGATACGCGCGCCACCTGCTGTAATTTTTGTATTATGCCTATAACCTACGTAAAAGTGTAAGCAATAAGTTGACAGAGTTCTACCGGAATCTAATGAACGGTATGGCAGCGCATAAAATACGAACAAACAAACGACTAGATATAAGTAGAGTGACAAACGAACACACAGTTCACCTGATCTTTTTTATTAATATAAGTATTATTTTGTTTGTGTATTCAATTATAGATTTGCATAGTCTGTCTTAACAATAGTCTATCACTGTTTATAAATAACCGTCACGAGTGTAATCCCAGAAGATCAGTGACAAGGAAACCAAGCCGCAGTAATACTCACCCGCATAATAATATAATGCAGTGTAGAAATTGTGTTTCGTTTTCTTTTCAAACGACTTCTTTTCTTTCAAGCGGTTCTCTATTCGTTGGAATCTTTTTTTTTATGTGTGTTCACCGATGATGATGACCGTATGATTACTCAAAAACGCCTGAACCGATTTGGAAAATTATTTTTTTGTTTCGAATGATATACTTCCCAGGTCCCATTTTAATTTATCTAAATCGGTCGACGGGTCGGCATATTGAAGTCGTTTGTACAAAAATTTAAATTGAACACTTCTTACGAGGTAGCTATTATCTTTATATATAAAAATTACGTGTCACGTTGTTTGTCCGCGATGAACTCCTAAACTACTGAAATGATTTCAATGAAATTTTGCACACTGTGTGCAGTTTGGTCCAACTTGAGAGATAGGATAGTTTTTATCTTGATAAGTGACACTTAATATTTTTTTGTTACGAATTTGAGGATTTTTTATATGAAGGGTCGTCGAAAAGGGCAGAACAAGGTCTGCCTGGCCAGCTAGTATACTTATAAATTTAAATTGTTAAGAGGAATAAAAGTTGACATTGCATTTATTATGCATTATTAACTCTTTTATGTGGTGTTTTACGCGGCGAAGTAATACTGCAGCCGTATTATGTTTGCAGCACAAATGGATCGCTCAACCGGGGAAGGACCACGTTCCCACAGAATACCAGCATAAAAGAGCTGCATAATGCTGCTGTGTTTTGTGTAGTCGATAACGAGAACCGGAGTCCATTTTTACTCGTAACAAAGCATTCCCTCGTAGTCACCAGGCCTTGCAATGCATTTGCATTTTGATACTAAGTCTTGGACAGATGTAGCTCTATGGGCTACATCATCCGTTTTTCATCAGATTGATTATGTGCTCATGTGTCACCAATACCCCTGTAGAATACGATTACGTGTGCGGGTCATCCTTTCAAACATGAAGTCCGGTTTGGAATCTGGTTAGGCGCCATTCTCTCACCTATTTCCCTAATCAGCTGCGTATCCACTCTTATTTAAAACGTAAGTAAACAGAGAACCGATATAGTTATAGTTTGCTTATTTGTCAAATAAGAAAATGATTTAAAATACATATTATGTAGGTTATAAGCTTATAAATTTTACACGATAACTTTAGGGAAAGAATCTGACACAGTTCGTCTTCTTTTTCTTTTATTATTGAATTTTTTTATAAAACTAAAATGACAAAGGAACTTACCACGATCACTTCCAGCAAAATCTTCAAACAATGAATGTCACAGATGCGTTGTCATTACTGAGGACTAAGGATGTCACTCCTGTAATATTACTGACTCGTTATACCCTGCAGACTGTTACCCCATTTAATTCTTTGTTATAACTCAAATTAATAAGAATACTGCGGTTGCCAACTCGTATATCAAGTGTGGCAACTATATGAATTTTCAACTTGTTAAATATATCGTTGTCCATACGAACGTACAGTAGTCTGTAAAGCGTTCAAGAAGGAATGATTGTTCAATAAGAATTAATTGGTTGACAAACACAATTAAATAATGAGGCCCAATCAAATAATGCATGCATACATCGGTTATGCTATTACGGGATCACTCTTATTTGACTTATTTGCTGTCCGTTTTAATAGAAAACCTATATAAAACTAAAGTAGGTCGCATTTTAAAGATAACCATTTCGGATATGCCAGTTATGAAATATCTATATCAGCGACGGAGAGCACTGTGATACATCTGGCTCCCACAGACAATAGATAATTATCCTGTTGAAAAGCGTCTCACAGAATACCAGCGTGAGGTATTCTGTGAGACGCTTAGTAGCTTAGCGCTAGTAGCTTAACCATTTCGCTGTCCCGTGCACTACATATAGGTCATTGCTATTGTCTTACTATTGTGTCTGCAAAGCGGACAGTGAACGTGTTAACATTGTTTCGTATGGTGAGTGTAGAGACCCATTTTACTGGAAACGAAGTATTCCATTTTAATGCTCACGGGTGACAACCCATCTGCACTTTGATTCGTAGTCGAAGATAGATGTAGATATCCATGGGCGACAGCAACTACTTACCATCAAGTGGACTATGTGCTCGTTTGTCACACCTATTCTATAAAAAAATACGTGTACGTATTATATTATATGCAGCTACGCATATAGCACAGAATGATTTACTGAGCGTGATTATTTAACTCTGCAATTTGTCATGATTTTTGTCGTTCCAAGGTTCATCTAGGCTTCTCATTTCTTATTAAATCCATTCATATCCACGAGAAATTAAGTTATAACTATTTGTCGTAACTACGACTACTTGTTTTAGCTGCTATGACTTACGCACCCACCTGTCCAGAATTACATTTGCGTTCCTTTTTACGTGGTAGAGCCATGCTGCAGCTATATTAGTAGTGTAGTTGTAGCACGAATGGGTCGGCTCCACCGGGGAAGGACCACGCTCTCACAGAATACCAGCGTAAAATAGCAGCTTAACACTGCTGTGTTTCGTATGGTGAGTGTAGAGAACCGGAGACCCGTTTTACTGGAAAAGAGGCATTCCATCTTAGCCCTCACGGGTGACAACGCATCTGCATTTTGATTCGCAAACGAGGATAAATGTAGATGTCTATGGTCCACAGCAACCACTTACCATCAGGTGGACTCTGTACTCTTTTGTCATCCTATCCTATAAAAAAAAATTGAACTTATGAGCGAAAACACAAAACTTGTTCACAGAGTTACTTATTAAGCTTACTCCTTTTTAAAAGGCCAGCAACGCATCTGCAATTGCCCTGGTTCCCCTGGTGTTGCACATGTTCATGGGCAACACCAGGGGAGTAGTCAGTACCAGTCGGTAGTCACTTACGATCAGGTGAGCCTCATGCTCGTTTGCCCCTCTCTTATAAAAAAAAAGAGTTCTATTACTGTAGTCTATCCAAAGTATTGGTTTCAAGCAACGAAATAAAATGTCTTTATGACCTAATGGGAAATGTTAACTACAATATGAGGGTTTTAAAGAGCTAAAACTACCGCCACGAGCTGTTGGAAATGGCTAGAGACAGTCATGACACAATAAAAACTGGAATTGCGAAAAATCTAATATTGTCGTTATAAAAAGTTCCGCTAAATTCATATTTATCTCATATTTATTTTATTTTATGTATTATCATCACACACATATCTAAACTACGTCTGTGACTATTATTTATAAATGACAGTTGAGGAAATAATACAACTTTATGTAAGTACATTTTATTTAAGTCGTCCTGGTACGCGATTGACAACAATAAAATATGAAGCACAATATTATATTTACAAAATCAGTTTACACAACTATTACAAAATAATTGAGACTTACATTAAAAGCTCCCTATAATTGTCTTTGGCACTTGCATTACATTAATTATATATTACGCTAAAGTTAGCTTAGAAACTCAGTTAAGTATATATTAGATAATGATTTCTTATATTTACGCGAACACTACACATTCAAATAAAACTAATTTTACGGATTTTATCGCGTATATTAACTTATTATATATTCCCGACGTTTCGGGCACTTTTCAGCACCCATGGTCACGGGGACTGAGGTGTATGACGTACCAATGTCAATGTCATGTGAACTATGACATTGGGACGTCATACAACAATAAGTTAATATACGCGATAAAATCCGTAAAATTAGTTTCAAAAGTGATATTGTGTTACATAATTTTCATTAAAAGTACTTGATAGTTTCAGTTAGGTCTAGTCAGGTCAGTTAGACTAGAGCATCAGGTTTTTTTAAAGGTTTATATAATTTTAAAAGATAAATGCTACAAATAAAAACAATTTTACATTAATTGTAATAGATTTTGTTAATGTTGTGGTGGAACAAAAATTATGCGTTTATACATTTAAACCCTATTTATTGACATACATTTTCTACTATAAAAACAGAACTGGAAACCTGTGATTACTGGAAATATTTATAAGATATTAATAGTTTTATGAAAATCAAATATAGTGCCTACATAAAAAAAAACATCAAGCGCAATCTACGTTTTCACAATTGTCCCGTGTCATCAGCTTATAATTAAGTTATTATTAGATTATTTACTATAGTTGAATCGTACTAATTTTTTTTTAAATTTTTGCTAACATTTACCTATTTTCAATGCATTTTTCATGTTTTCGAAACGAGCCTTGGTGTTAGTAATTCACGGGCTGGTTTGCGCAACTCTAAGGCTGAGTCTAAGAAATAAGCAAGAAGAAATGTTAAAAAAATCTACCAGCGTTCGGTGTTTTGCGACAAAATTGCCCAGTGTATACCCAGTATGTTACCAGTATATACACTATGATATATGTACCCATGAGAATCTTAAAACAAAGGTCCGCCAGTACACGTCTCTAGTGACTTAGTGACGTGACGGTACCGACACGTGGACCGTCACACTGCTGGCCATATGAAGTTCTGTCACTCAGCAAGCTATAAGAGGGCTTTGCTCAGAGTGTCTTTGGGCGTAAAATATATCACACTCCTAATATACTAGAAGTAGAACAAGAAGTTGCTTGAAGAAGCAAGCTTGAAGAATTAATAATCTACGAAAGAGTTTTTCGTATGGCAGCTTCGTGGCAACTACCAAGTGCTAAGAGGATGTAGATGGACGCAAGTGAAAGCATTATAGTGTGTTTTATGAGAGATGCCTATGCTCAGCTGTGGATATGATAGACAGTAATGATAATGATGATGAATAAACCTTAGGTATCAGCAAGCCGGCAAAATATAAATAAAAATATTATTGTAATTACTTACATAACAAAATTTTTAATGCGTCCGCACTAACATTTGGTTAAGCATAGGTACATACAATAACTGAATAAGTTAGATATTCCGAAAATTGGACAACTACTAGTAAACATACATTTTAAATAGTAATAGTAATAGTCTAACTAGAAGAAATTCTACTAGAAGTATAAATTGATTGAAAATACTAGGAGACAACTAAAATTCTACTACTTCACAACCAGTTTTAATACTTTTAGTGCTACGCTTAAGATTTAGCGAGTATTGTTAAGAACTTAAATATTAACATCGATTGTCGATATTTCTGAAACTAGTTGATTCACTATTTATAAGGTTTGTAAAGATTAACTGTAGTATACAATCAGTGGCATAGCATAGGTAGCTGCCGCTTGCGGCCTGTCTAACCAAAATTATCGCTCCTCACCTCACACACCCACATTTTGGAAGTATCTTAAAAACTATAAACTTCTATAGTTTTTGTGTAACATGGAATAAAACAATTTAATGTATCTCGATTACGTGTAGATAATTTCTCTATTTCATTTTAGAACTTGCATTACATAATTATAGTGTTAGTAAGGACGCGTCCATTAAATAAATGTGTTTAGGTGGGCTGGGAGGTCGAATCTCACCCAATCTCACGTCTCGGCAAATATCATGTAATTTTTTTCAGCAAAAAACAATGTAAAATTTTAAGAAAATTGGGTTAAATGAAGTAAAATATGACTAAATCCTACACAATAATATTTATCACGTTTATGTGAACTCCAAAAATTATATAAGAATAATTAAGTGAATTATGTTTTTTCTTTAAATAAACCCAACGCAATCATGCACAGATTAACGTATTTACACTAAAATACGCATTTTGTAAAATCTCACGTGAGTGAGAATATCTCAAGGGGGTGAGGGCGTCGAGCCATATCTCACAAAATCTCACCAGGGGAGGGGGAGGGTGGAAAAATCCCTGAAATCACCTCACGTATTTAATGGACGCAACCTAATATTTAAATCAAAAGTTCGTAACAGTTCATTTTGAGATTTTTGAGATTTTTACTGACATCCTTTAAATAACCGCCTTCTAAAACCACGCCTTGCTACACCACATGATATATAGACAAGTCACAACAATAGCCTTAACATATTATAAATAATGCTTAGCTAACTTATATAGTTAAAATATATAAGCAGAGGAATTATTTTTGAGAATCTAGTAATTATCTACTCATTGACAAACTGGATTCGAATATAACCCCTAGTTAAATAGTAGTACAAAAATTGTATATAAACACTGGAGGGAGTGCGATACTGGACGTTTGTGTTCTTCTTAGCGTTAGTTAACACTTAGAGATAATACGAAGTAGTATGGCATACTTATAATTAACTTAGTCGATGTATTTTAAAAGCTTTTTTGGAGATTAATCAAATTTCTTAATATGTAAGATTTAATACGCTGCCTAAATGAATTTACGAGTTGTAATGACGCGATATGCAATTTTTGTTAAAGGACATTGAATACAATACATCTTCATATTTTAAGAATCGATTATTATCACAAAATTACTGGCAAACATCTTTAAGTATCTAATAGTAAAACGTAATGTTGCAGCTTTTACAATACATAAAAGAAACCCTGTTCAGTCAGTGTGGATGCTTTTATGAATTCTGTTGATGTACCCCGTAAAAGCTTAAAAAATAATTAAATGGAGAAATTTATATGACAATAAGTAAATGATGTTAACCATTCAAAAATACCGTAACCGACGATGGTGTTGCCAAATATTAAAAATGAACTGAATGTTAAACAAAATTGTATAAAATTAAAACATGTATTTTAGAGCCTTTTTACTGGAAACGAGGCATTCCATCTTAGTCCTCAGAGGTGCTAACGCATCTGCATTTTGATTCTTAATCGAGAGTAGATATAGATGTCTATGGGCCACAGCATCCACTTACCATCAGATGGACTGTGTGCTCGTTTCACTACTGTGTCACTACTACAAAAAATTATTTAAATAATAGAAACATATAAAAATTCTATAATAATAAGTTGTTTTCATTTTTTTGGGTACATTTTGGGTACATTACATATAGCATTTTTAGGCGGGCAGGATTCCTTTCACCGCCGATCACGTGGTACATCAACGCTTACAATTACAATTAACAATGCCATTGTTGAAAATCAAGTATTACAATATAGATAAAAAATTAATAGAGAAAAATATTCAGATTGATAGTTTACAAATAAAATTTTGAAACACGAGAGAGAGACAGTACAGTATATACAGTATAGGCCAACAATTCAGTTAGGATCAATATGCGATGTGGTCCGATGTATTATTATTTTAACCGGCGAAGCGTGAAGGAGATTCATCGGCCACATTAAATCACGCTCACAGCCATTTTAAAATGAATATAAATTCATTTATCGATGAGCACAGAAGCTTAATTTTAACATATTCTACCTATAATACAACCAACGATAATACGACCAGTTTCTTAACTATAATTCAATCAAGCAGGTACGTATGACTCCTGATGCGTTATTATAGTAGTAAAGTACTTTATTTTATTTAAAAAAAAACAAAAAAAAACTGAAAAGTAGCGTATATGTGCAAATAATTAACGATAATACCTATTTTATTATTCTAATACATAAGCGAAATAATATTTTCGACAAAGGAACAACAAATAAATTTCACCGAGAAAATTTACATACTATTAATTTACCACAAGTATTTCCTATGTTAAAGAAATTGTTTACAGGCTTACATTTAGGTTACATACTGTGGTTACTACAACAGGAATACTACAAAATAATGACTAAACAACAACTACGTTACAACTACTAACCAATTTAAAGATCACATTATCGCTTTGCAATATTAAATAACCTAAAATGACTAGCATTAGAGTTTATTTCTTAAATTATAATTAGTTCGACTTAGTTTCGTCGTTAATTTGTATCTTTGAATTATTTATAAATTTTTGATTTTGAGTTAAAAGTATCATGCCAATGTAGTTTTTAAATTCCTTTCGTGTTTATTTTAACTAAATATTTTTGAAGCTCATATGTAGGAATAAATGTCACGTTATAAATGTTACTTAAACTTTGATGCACTTAAGTGTGATATTTCAGTAGAAAACAATATTTTGTAAGTTTTTATTTAAATATAAATGCTTACGAGCTCTTCAAGTGATGTGATTCGTGATCGCAGCGTCTTAGAACAGCAAAATGAGTTACTTGGAAAGTATTGGTGGATCGGTTGCCGCGTTCTAAAGTCCCAGTCATGGTGTAGCCCATGTTGAAATCCGCCTGGGTAACATTCGTTGTGAGGTACAGCTGCAAAAATATTAATAGTATTAGTATAAAAACATAAAAGTATAAATAGTAATTGAAAATTCTAAAACAAGGAAAGAAAATACGAGTACCATCTAATTGTCAAGCCTACTTATGATGTTAATTTTAAACTAATATAGAGAAATAGATTCATGTAGATGGAGAGGGAGAGAGAGAGAGAAAGAGAGAGAGGAGAAAGATAAATAAATGACTTCCTATCTTGGGATTATCTTATCTCTCCGCAGTTTTTTCGGTTTTGTACTATGGTTATGTATTTGGATATCCATTATTTTATAACACTTAAGTTCTTGATTACCGGCACTCATTATGCACTGTAAAGAGAATGCAGTAAGTTTTCATAGCATGTGACTACTATAATAAAGCTCACTCAGAAATGACATTGTTTGGGAGACTCAAAGTTCTCCAATTTTTTTTATAGAAGAGGGGGCAAACGAGCGAGCGGCTCACCGTATGGTAAGTGACTACCGCCGCCCATGAACAAGCGCAACATCAGGGGAATCGCAGCTGCGTTGCCGGCCATTTAGAAGGGAGTAAGCTGAAGATACTTTTGAAATAGCATGTTGACGTGGCTCACTAGGGGACAGACTTGAAAGTCTTTGCAAAATTACAGAGTTATTATGCAAAGAGTAGTAAAATTTTAAACTTAAGTTCAAATATATAAATAATAATATACCGTTATTGCAGTTTTTGAAAATACGAGTAAGTAAGGCTTCTACTTTTATTTGAAGTTATCCCAAATTGAATGTGATTTATAGGCAATGTGTACGTGCGCAGTAAAATCAGTTAAAATAATGCCTTACCACGCATTTCGAATTTAAGAGAAAAATTACAGAATGTTTGAGATTTTTTAATTAATTTTTCTTCACCATTTGCCTTTATTATTTATTTTGAACGTTCTGTATATTTACAGTGTTTATAAATTAGTCAGTAGTAGTTCAAAATTGCATTAATTGTACGTTGTTACCCAAAATGGACTAACCTACAAAAGCTACATTCGAATTTTCGATTTAGATTTTTGTTCTTTATTGACTGCAACTTTTACTGGAAATATTTTAAGGGTTTACTTTGGATGCATAACACATTTTTACAAAGCAAAACTATAAACAAATCAATGCAAGCTAATATCATCGAACACTGATTGTAGGAATGAAAATCAAAAAATATTATTTTTATAACAATGAAAATATAATCAAACGTCATTATCTTAAAGAAGCATTTTATGGGTTTGATCTTTTAGTACGGCCATATTATTTATGTTGTGAGCAGTCACAACAATATTTATGTAGTTATTCAACATTTGCCAGAAGATCTTTGCACATTAACATGACGAAGCATACTCTTTACCTTAAAATCAGCATCTGTTCCGAGATGCTTGAAGGTTCCAACGATGTATACCGCATTGGCACCGCTGATAACCATTCGTGCGTGTGTGCTGTGCCTAAGAAATAAAATGAATGAAAGTATGTCATATAGTACATCAAGATATGGTTGCTAAGAAATGATTAAATGTGCTTAGGAGCTAGGCTCTTGCCATAGGATAGCCAGGCGGCGTTTAATCCATTCAAACGTATTGTTCTGTTAGTTAGTAACATTTGTTTGTTCATTCAGCAATGCAACGGTATTATTATTACTTTTTAATATCTCTAACTGTTCCAGCACACACAGCCGCAGCCCTTTATTACACGTATGTAAGACTTTAAAGGAGTGGTCGTTGGCTAGGTTGTGTCCGTTGCATTGCTGAATGAACAAACAAATGTTACTAACTCACCTCTCTTAAATATCTTTAAGCCTGCTCTCTAATAATAGAGAGCCTCGCAATATGGTCGTTTGTCACCCTCACGGTGATCGGAGATTGGTTGCGTGGTTGGAGGGTGGGCGTTGCGCGGCGGTTTGTTTTTAATTTTACAAACGGCTGCGTAAGTCCAGCGGTGATTGGTCGCATGTTTTATCGCACGACGCGGTCGCTCGCTCCTTAAGTAGAGAGCGGTTACGTTATCGGTCTGTATAAAAGGCACTTGTTTTGGCTCGCCGCTCACTTAGCGGTTAGCCACCGTAGAGTCTATATCACCTGAGGATGCCTCGTGTAGAGGCGAAACACGTATCGTATTATCGTCAGTGGTGTGTCTTGCCTAGTGTAGTGGTGTTGGGAGTAGCGGTGCTGGGATTAGTGGTGACGTGGATAGTGCACGCAATTGAGGGAGGGCGGGAGGTGCTCTTCATACTAGGTAAGACACATCATTTTATTTTATAACGCGGATATTTGCGAAGTAAATTTTTCTATAAGCTTTTATATAATGGATTTCCGCAAAGTAACGCCTGATTCTATTAATTTAATCCTTTTTTTTATAGATAAGGGTGACAAACGAGCAAACAGCCCACCTGGTAAAGTCAATTAAGAATCAAAATGCAGATGCGTTGTCACCTGTGAGGACTAAGATGGAATGCCTCGTTTCCAGTAAAAAGGGTCTCCGGTTCTCTTCACTCACCATACAAAACACAGCAGTGTTAAGCTGCTATTTAAGGCTGGTATTCTGTGAGCGTGGTCCTTCCCCGGAAGAGCCGACCCATTCGTGCTACAACTATACTACTAATATAGCTGCAGCATGGCTCTACCATGTACAAAATTAAATATCGTCCTTTAATTAAATTGTTAACACTAATTTCAGTACTGGCTTACTACTTCAGTACTGTCAGTACTGTGACTTGACGGTGAAGGAAATCATCGTGGTAAGAAGAAACCTGCGTGTCATAAAGTTATGAATCTTTTAGAAATTAACAAAGTATTGCGAAGAATATTTTTATCCGGGTGTTACTACACTCACTTAAAATATATCTATCTTTACTTATGTAATGCTGCTGTGTTTCGTATGGTGAGTGTAGAGAACCGGAGACCCTTTTTACTGGAAACGAGGCATTCCATCTTAGTCCTCAGGAGTGACAACGCATCTGCATTTTGATTCTTAATTGAGGATAGATGTAGATGTTTATGAGTCACAGCGTCCACTTACATCAGGTGGGTTGTGTGTTAGATTGTCATTCTTATTTCATAAAAAAAATACTATTCTTTTAAGTTTTTAGACGCCTCATCTATATTACGAATAGTGCGAATGGGTCGGCTCACTCTCACTGAATCGTCATTATCATTATAACCCTTCCCAAGTCTACTGCTGAACATAGGCCTCCCCAAGGATTGCCACAAAGCACAGTCCTGAGCCACTTGCGTCCTTCGACTTCTTGCATGTTTTACCAGATCGTCAGTCCATATAGTAGGGGGCTGCCCTACACTTCGCTTACCGGTACGAGGCTGCCACTCAAGAACCTTTCTTCCTCATGGATTGTCGAATTTTCGAGCCGCGATATATGGCCGGCCCATTGCCACTACAGCTTACTAATCCGTTGGATTATGTCGGTTACTTTAATTCTACTGCGGATATCCTCATTACTAAGCTTATCATGCAGGGAAACTCCGAACATAGCCCTCTTTACAGCTCGCTGAGCGACTTTGAGTTCTCACACAATACCAGCGTGCTATTTCAGCTTAATAGTAGTATTTCGTATGGTTAGTGTACAGAACCTATTTTACCCATTAATTTGTTTTGCGTTAGGACAAAAATTGCGCAGCACGAAAATAAGGTAAACCACAGGTAACACGTCTTTCAAATATTTTTAAGTAAAGGCGTGCCAGGTAATATCGCATTCTGTCCGTGCCGACCGTTTATCATGCGAGCCGCAACCGCCCGACAGCGCCACTTGAAACCTCACCGAGTTTGTATACCCACTGATATATTAAAGCTTAACTATCTCGTTATTAACAGCTCGTTGAGAAAACTAATTTATGGTCTCCGGAAAATGGAGTAAGGAAAATTAGCTTTCCTTATGTATATGTTCTAATTTTTTTCGAAAATGATATTCGTAATTTATTTTCATTATAGCATTTTCCATAAATCTAGCAAACAAAAAGTATCATCATCGTCATCATTACAGCCCTTCACAAGTCCACTGCTGAACATAGGTCTCTCGCAAGGAATACCACAAAACACGGTCCTGAGCCACCTGCATCCATCGACTTCCTGCATGTCTTACCAGGTCGTCACTCCATCTAGTGGGCGGACGACCCACACTTCGTCCGCCGATACGAGGTCGCCACTCGAGAACCTCTTTCCCCATCGGTTGTCGGTTCTTCGAGCTATATGGCCGGCCCATTGCCACTTCAGCTCAGTAATCCGTTGGGCTGTGTCGGTCACTCTGGTTCTACTGCGGATATATAGAAATGAGGTCTAAGTTTATCATGCAGAGAAACCCCTAGCATAGCCCACTCCATAGCTCGCTAGGTCATCACTGGCAACACGCACTGGTTGTATAATTTACTTTGAGGTTTTGAGGTATGTCTGACGAGAAGATGTGTCGTAATCTCCCGAACGCTGCCCAGCCGAGTTGAATCCGTCGATTGACCTCTCGCTCGAAGTTGGACTCACCTAGTCGGACTATTTGTCCTAGCTTTACATATTCGTCAACAACTTCGAGCTTACAAACTTAGCTTTGCAGTGGAAAATAGTTCTCCCGTTCATCGGTCTACATCAGGTAAGTAGTGTATTTGGAATGGCAAAAATATTATTTGACGCGATAAAACCACAAATTATCAGTTTTAGAATATTTACTTTTACTTTTGCTGTGAGACCTTGCTTCTAGCCAAATTATCAAAATTCTAGGTCAGGTAGAAAGTAGGTACTCCTTAGGTTTTGAGGAGAAAAAAGTGATTTCAAGGGTGCCATTTTTTCCCTTTGTGATTGCGAACCTTAACGCCTGTCAAAGTTATCCCTACCCTAAAGTTAACCCGTACTGAAATTGATTTACTTAATTATTTTTTATCGAATAAGTGCTCGCTAAGTTACGTTTACCTACCGATATATAACCACTCTCGTAATAATTATTAAAACCCGACAAATATATATCTTTAAGTACTGAACCATGACTATGACATGAATATACTATAATGAACACCATTATCAGAAATATAAACTGAAGAACATTTCATGATGCTGTAGTTTCTTTAAAAAAGTTACCGTCAAGCGTTTTGTTGTGTTATTTAACAGTTCTCAGATTTTAAAAATGCCCCATACACGAACGGACTTGTTTCTGTTGACCTGGGTATTTAAGCGGTTTTAACGTGACCATTTGAGAACTCTATGTCTAAGTGATCCGCTCTATAAGTAAGAAAACACAGTTTCGTCTTTGAACCATTTATTTGTGTATCTTATTTACCTATTTCAAAAAATAGTTTGCCAAACTCTTTCCACGCATTTTCTCATCATTTACAACGCGATTGGTAAATGATGGGATGACCCCAGTGACGTTTGATGTAACATACATCGGGTAGCAGTTTTCTCTTCGAAATTCTGGACACGTATCCTACTTGCGAGGGCGTGGATCCTGCACGTACCGAACGCGGTCCTAACGGCCGATGTAATGGTATCTTGGTCTTTAATAGCCTCAAACATCTCGTTGGACGCCCTAAACAGTTCCTACGAGCAAATTAAAAACGTTTATGAGTTCTTTCAAAGTATTCGCTACCTCTTTATGGGTGCTTGGCGGTTGGAAGAGCTCGACGCTCTAGTGAAGGTATTCATAAATAAAAACAAGTGCCTTGTCCTTAACACAGCAATATTAAATTATTTAGATCCAAAGCAGAAAAAACATGCGTGAGTGTCGTGGAACACTCGATTGGAACGAAGTTCCTTATTGTTGATAAACGTATTATATTATTGATGAACAAATACAAATAAATGTGTTACTAGAGTCTATTAAAATGAAGCTCATTTAAAATAAAATACACTATAACACAAGGGGTAGTGACGAAAAAATCTTACACTTTTTGTCGCCTAGCTCCCATCCGCCAAACCCGTACCGTCCGATAAGGAACTTCTTTCCAAAAACATTTAAGTAAAGTTTGAGCATATAGTTATTATGCAGCTTTAGAAATGCTGGGCAGGTGTATCCACTTATTAATAAGAGGGTTACGGAGCAGTTAATCAACCTCGCTTCTTTATTCCATGTTGATGGACTGCACGTGTCGGTTATAAAAAAGATGTATTATTTCTCAGCGGCAATCACTTACCCATGAGCTACCACTGTCCAAATATGTAAATTATTAATAAAAAAGATGTTCTGAAGAAAGTATTCATTAAAATATAAGCACAGTTTATTATTTCTGAAATATTGTATAGATTTTCTTCCAGATTGAAGCATCGAGGTCGTAGTAGATGGTGCATTCTCCGATTACAAGTCTATTAATGTTAATGTTACACAAGGCTCCGTGTTATCACATTGTGATGATTTGCAAACCATTACGAGTTAACTCGTAACATTCATTGCTATGTAGATGACAGCATTTGTAAAGATTTTTCCGACCTAGCCAATATTTCTCCTAAGCATGTCGTC